GAAGCAGCTGCGGGGCCTCAGATCCAGCAGCTTCCGATCCAGCCGTCCCACGCCCCGCCCCACGCCCCGACCCACGCCCCGACCCACGCCCCGGGCCTCGCCAGAGGAGGCAAGAGCCGCGACTTGAAGAGACACCTGATGTCAGCGTTCCGGCGGCACCAGTCAGTGTCCATAAGCTACAACCCCAGCTCCGCCCGCAGACGCAGGGTAAGCAGAGGTGGCCCAGAGGCAAACAGGGTGCCACACACAGGAACGCAGCAGTGACGACGCAGCATCGCACTACGTGAGAGGAGCAGACACGGTCCCACTTGCGTTGATGCCCGGACCAGGCGCAGTCACTGAGACGAGGTGCGGGTTGGTGGCTGCCTGGCGGGGGTCGGGGGGGTCCAGGCCCTCAGCTCACTCGGCACTACCTGCATCACTTAGAGACTCGGTTACCCCTCCCCCGCCCGGGCTGCGCCCGCACGTCTGGCCCGCTCGGCGCTCTCCCACGCGTGATCACAAGCCGCCATCCATCCTGCCGCCGCCGCACAGCGCCCACGCGGAAACGGGCGCCATGAGCACTTCTGCTAGAAGAACTTGAATGTCGCTTTGCTGTTTCGTTTAAATTGGAGTATGCTACAATAATCGTGTGTGGCCTCTGTAGGGGTCCTACCCTCCTCCTCTACAGGGCGGTGTCCCTCCAGGTGATTCGCCAGCTCCTCAGGTCCCCAGCTCGGGGAGGTGGCAGGAGGTGGTGCACAGGAAGGGCTGTGGTCGGGCTTCCCGTGATTACAGTGTGACACTTGGGGAGTCTAGGGCGGCTGGCTCTGCACAGATAGATACTCCCCTTGCCCAAGGTCCAGCCCTACCACCCTGGGCACCTGCAGTGCAGGACCCACGTCCTCAACTTCACCGGGGGTCCCCCCAATCTAAATGCAGGCCCCTGAGGCAGGACGGTCACTCACAAGTGTTGGGGACAGGGTGGCCGCAGGCCCCTGGGTGGGCGAGTAGATGCCCTCTTGGGGTGCCAGGGACTAAAGAGGCCCATCCAGGGGTCCCCAGACCAGGGCCACATGGTCCACGCAGGCCCGTGTGGGGACGGGGGGTGGTGGGACATCACTGAGGAGGAAGGAGCCCGCTGCTCAGCTGTTGGGAACTCCCAGAGCAGCCACCCTCACCCTGACAGGTGAGGCAACAGGCGGCGACTATGGCCCCTCGTCGCCCCGTTCCCCAGTTCCCAGTGCCACCTCAGGCACCGGGCGCCGCCGGTTCGTGGTGGGTGCTGCCGGCCCGCACGCTCACCTTGGCGCCCAGCGGGCAGTACCCCTTGAGGAAGTCGGTGCAGACCTCCGCCTTCCGGGACACGTAGACGTGGCTGTAGGGACAGTTGCTGTTGCTGCAAATCCCCTTCAGGAAGTAGGAGCACACGGGCATCTGTCAGGGAAGGGGGGGCAGTGAGGGCCAGCAGACCTCGCAGCTCCGCCATGCTTGTCGGGCACCTGCCCCCCACCTGATGGTGCAAACGCCAGGACTCCAAGGACCCGCCTGCAGTCCCATGGCCGGCACGAGCCTCATGGCTGGAAACCCTCATGTGGTCCTGCCCCAGG